AGCTTAATAGTCGTTTTTCTGAGGCAAATACCGAGTTACTTCTTTGTGTCGGATGCCTCAATCCTAGGGATTCTTTCAAAGCATTCGATAGAGAAAGGTTGATAAGGTTTTCACAGCTTTACCCTAAGGATTTTTTCCGTATGATATTGTGGTGCTCGATAATCAACTTGAACATTATATTATGGATGTGCGTACGAGCAGTGACTTTTCGGAGGTTGATGGGATTTCAAACCTTGCTGTTAAAATGGTGGAAACTAGAAGACAAGTGACATATCCTTTGGTCTATATGCTTATTACTTTAGCGTTGACATTGTCGGTTGCTACTGCTAGTGTGGAGAGAGCATTTTCTGCAATGAAGATCATAAAAAATCGACTACGCAACCGAATGGAAGATGATTGGCTCAACGCTTGTATGGTTCCGTACGTTAAAAAAGATGTTTTTCATAAAATTAGTAATGAAACTATTATGCAACGATTTAAGACCATGTCATCTCGTCGTGAACAATTGTAATTATAAGGTAACTTTTTTTATGCATTTTTGTTATCTTTTAAAATTATGTCATGTCTTTTGCCCCGCTCGACTAATTTTCTGGCTTTGCCCCTGTGCTTCGGGGTCCTATATGGCAATATTACATACTTTATTATTAGGTTTGGATAGATTTTTAGTTTACTTCCAATTCAAAAATAATTAGGTTTGGATTATCCATAAATATGTTGATTATTTATGTTCATATTACATGTATTAATTGTATTTTAATATTATTTCTTATTATAACTATTGAATTGTAAATATATTTTAAAAATGAATAACTTCATTATTTTTTATTAGTTTTGCATATATAATATATCAAATTAATCATCTCTTGATCAATTAATCATGATGAGTTTCGATTTAACATACATATTGTATGTATAAAAAGAAAATAAATTATATTTATATTTATATTTGTAAAAATAACATGTTTTTTAATATTAATTAGAAACATAATTTATTTATCAATTAATAAATTTATATTTCAAATAGTTATATGATATAAGTTATAAGAATTATTATAATATATATAACACATATATGTAGCACAAGTAACAAGTGTCATTCTAAAATATATAATAATATATATTTACTTATAAAAATGTAGATAAAATTTAAAATAATTTTTTCATTAATTACAAAATTTAAGAATATTTTCTTAACAAGTACATATATATTCCATGCATTACAAAAGTATTGTACTAGTGTATTATAAACTAGTATGTAACCCGTGCGATGCACGGCTGTATTTACTTTGGAGAATATTAGAAATTAAAATGTATTAATAAATAAAAGAGTGATAATTCGTAGGAAAATTATCAAACTATAAAATGTTCGTCATGCGAAAAAATATATTATTTAAATTTTTTTGTACACAACATCATATGTTCAATAACTGAGCAACTCGTCGTCCCCACAAACTAATATTTTCAACACTTTTCTATCATTTACACGCGAAACAAACAACATAATTGTCCATGACTAAAAATTGATTTCTTTAAGAACATGCCAACGTACAATAAATGTTGACATTAACTCTTCTTGATCTATTACTTAACATGTCAACGTACAATAAATGTTGACATTGACTCTTCTTGACCTATCACTTACACGGGTAATAACATACAATTGGTCGTGATCAAAAAAAGATTTTTTTAAGAACATGCCAATGCACATCTCTTATATATTACTTACATGTAAAAACAACAACATATAATCCGTCGTTGCTAAGAACCGATTTCTTTTATAATATGCCAACGCACATAAAGACTGACCCTGATTTAAAATAAAACCCTAAGATTAGAAGTAACTGGTGCTCTAGAACTTAAATGAAATCCTAAGATGGATCTTTTATAATATGATAATTTACTTAGGCAGTCAGACAATGAGTTGTTAGTTTAATATCGATTATCCTTGATTAGCTATATAATATTCGCTAATATTTCTACCATGACTGTTAAATGGAACCCCAAAATCAGAAGGAACTGGTGCCGCTGGAACTTAAATGGAAGTCTAAGATGAATCTATTTATAATATGATAATTTATACAACAGTTGGACAAATGAATTGGTGTATATCTACAAAAATATGTATGAATAATACAAAACGTTAAATATTACATCACGCTAATTTTATGGGAGAGATTATATATAGTAGATATAAAATATAAAACATTAGTGATTAGACATTACTTCAGGCTAATTTTTTCAAGCCGATCAATTTTTACTTGAATGTGTGACAACTTATTATATATTTTCAAACTGAACAATTTTTAATTGGACACTTTCCTATTATATGTGTGACAATTTTTTAGGTAGTAAATTTATATTTTGTGTATACAAAAACAAAAAATCGATTTACTATATAAAATTTTGAAAATTTTCCTTTTAAAAACAATTGACAAAAATAATACCAATAAAGGGAATTGTTGTATATCTAAAAAAAAAGATTTGCATATATTTCATATAAAATTATTCATTCTCAAAATCCGCTACAATGAAAAATATATTTAAATATTATTATAAATATATTTAGATATTAATATACATTTTTATTTTGTAATTGTTGGTTCCACTAAATATGATAAAATAAAAAAGAATCCTCACAAATGAGAATTCCAAAATTGACACCATGTAAATTTAAATATTACTATAAAATTATTTTTTTGTGTGTGTATGTAACATATATGCTAATCCAAATCAATGATTCTAATAAATCTGTTAAATAAAAAAGAATCCTTGATAAATAAGAGTTTCAAAATCGGCTACATATAATTATTTATATAATCTTTGCCTACAAAACTACTCTTAACGTAACTAAAAAAAACTAAGAATTTACTAAAACAAACACAAACCGATAATCGAGTTATATGAAAATTATTCAATTAATGATTTATTTTTTATTTAGATCATTTTATATTATTTGCATCTATAGTAGGTAATTAATGTTTTGAGTGGAAAATGCTCATAAAATGTTTGGGTATGAAAAAATCATATGTTATTAAAAACCTAATTGTAAACAACATTATTAGTTTGATTATTGGGCACACTACAATAAAATGATAAAATTCCAGTGGAAATCTATTCCAAAAGAAATTATTCCAACGACAATTCCAACGGATATTCCAATACTATTATTTTTGTTGGAATGAATTTTCCATTGGAATTTTCGTTGAATTTTGACGATTCCAACGGTGGATTTTTCAACGGGGTGGAAACAAAAATTCTAATGGAATTTGCATATTTCAACAGAAATTCCTACAGTAAAAAAACCATTGGAAATATAGCACTTGAAATCATCAAATTTCTAAGGTTGACACTCACTCTTGTTTATCGTCATGACAATATAAATGAATGTTTATCTAAACTTAATCTTTGAAATGTAGTGATCGTGTGTTATTTTTTAATTTCATGATTAATTGACTGTTTTATTAATTAGTTGGTTTGAATCAATATATAACAAATTTTGTTGTCAATCGTTATTAGAGTTTTTAAATTAATTTGTTTAAATGCATAATAAAAAGAGACCTAAACTATGAAAAATTTTTCATCTTTTGAAATCAAATAAATGACAAACACTATCTTTCAAAATAAATAATGATAATGATTAATTATAACATTTTTCGTTTTCCTTTACAAATCGATAATGAAGAAAAAAGTCTAATTAGTGAAAAGATGATATATACAAATCATGATTTCAAAAATCTGATATATACAAATCTTAGCATGCAGTTTCAAACAATTTAATAATATAGTAATAGGCCGAATGAATTATGATTCAAATTCATGCAAAGAAAATCTTGAATAGATTTCTAAAATCATGATATATACAACTCATGATTTTCCTTGGAGATTTATTCGGATTTTCAAATTGTTTGGAAATCACGATTTCTAAAGTCATGATTTATTCGAATTTCCAAATTGTTTGGAAAAATATGAGATTTATTCAGATTTTGATTCCTTATTGTTTACCAATATAAAAGTATTTGATGTTATTAATAAAAAAACGAAAAAATCTGATTTACTATTTTTAGGAGATAATTAATGAAAATAGCGGAAAATTGTTTCTAAATTTGATTTATGTTAATCCTTATTATATGGGATTAACATATATGTTAAGATATAAGTAACATATTTGTTACTTTCACGTAAATACTAATATATATATATATATATATATATATATAAATTATTTCTAATATTTATTAGAAATATGATTGATTCTTAAAAAGAATCTTTAATTGATAATTATTAATTAAATGTTTTAAATTATATTTTAAAAAATTTTAAAAATGCATATGGTAAGCGTATTTCTTAAATTAAGTGTATTAAGTATGGTAAGTGTATTTGATTTTGATTCCATATTTCTGATTGTATTCCTAAAAAAAAGGGATAAAAAAGGTATGCTAATAAATAAAAATTTTGTTAATTTACTATTTTTAGGTAATAATTAATGAAATTGGCGGGAAAGTATTTCTAAAAATGAATTATTTTAATTCTTATTATATATTAATAGATTTATAAAAATAATATATCGATATATTCGTCAGACCATCTAACAAAACACCACAAGAGGTACTCGTGTCAATTTATTATATGCTATATTGATATATTATTGATATATATAGATCCGAAGACCTTTGCTGCCCCGTTTACTTTGAATACTTTTTTTTTTTTTAAGTAACCAGTCATTGTATTCGGAGCTATGTTCTGATTAATCCGTTGATCGACTCGGGTTGCACACCTGATAGTGATTGGTGAGTCTCTCAAAAAAAGTTTTTTGCATCCACAAGGACTCGAGCTCGAGACCTTACTTAAGCGACATCAAGCTGCTTACCAGCCAACCTTTTTTGTTTCCTTTGAATACTTTAATACAATTTGAATTTTATACACACTTTTAAAGAATATATAAGGCAGAGTTGAAACTGTTGAACTATTCCAGACTGGTGTTGCCGCCTGTATCCGATAAAATGAGAGCGACGTTGAAGCCCGCGTTTGTCGTATCCTTACTGCAGCTGTGCGTCGTCGTTTATGTTTTTCCAATTTGCAGCGCCGACATCGGCAGCGCCAGCCGGTACTCGCCTCCATATACGCGTAAGCATCCCAATTATGTTAAGCCTCGTTTGCACGATCGATTTGAAGCAGATCTAATTTTGAAATCCCTAATAATTTATCCAGCCACGGCGTGTTACGGCGACGATCCGAACCAGTTTCCACCGAATAGGTTGTTCGCGGCGGCCGGAGAGGACATATGGGATAACGGGGCGGCGTGCGGGCGGCAGTACCTGGTGGAGTGCATCAGCTCCTCGTTGCCGCCGGCGTGTCTGCCCAACCAGACGATCCAAGTGAGGATAGTGGATCGGGCACTGACCGCGGTCTCACGGCCCCTGGCGGATGGGGCCAACCTCGTCCTGTCCACTACGGCTTTCGACGCCATTGTAGGGGCCCCAATTCCCCTTGTCAACATCCAGTTTGAACAGTGAGTTCTTTCTCCACTACTTTTCTAACTTTTTTTTTTTTTTTTGTTCTCTTTAATTTTTAGTCCTTTTTTAATGGAAGCCAGCTCTCAACCTTATCTTTTGAGCAGAAACACATGGAGTAAATTCCACCGTGAAATGGTTTTATAATTTTTTTGTAAGTAAAGTTTTTATCACGCTTTTAAGCCATCTCCAAGACATTTATATCGAGTAGACACTTATCCAAATAAAATACTACCTCCTATTTTTAATATATGTCGTTTTGAGAAGTTGCACACTAATTAAGAATATTTTTTTTGTCAATAATAACCTTATTTAATGAAGATAGAGATGAATGTTTTGAGAAAAAGTGAAGAGTGAATATGAAAAGACGTAATGTATTTATTGGCTAAATGAGGGTAATAATAAAAAAATATGTACAAAAGATCCAAAACGACATTTATTTGGCAAATAGTTGAAAAGGCTAGAATGACATTTAAAAAAAATAGGAGGGAGTATTATATATTATTGGGAGATGCTACAGTCCCGTCACGGAACTATTCCGTCGGAATTTGTAACTGTAGGGTGTGCAAACCCAATCCCACATCGAAAAATTAAAGGTTCAAAGTCCAATATCTAAGTTTGGTGGGTTACTCCTTCTATTGCCAATTGGTTTTAGAATAGAACCTCATTTGGACTTGTATGTTGGGTTTGATGGAGAACTGGATTTTGAATTATTGATCTTAACAGTAACCGTTAGATCATCATGTAACCGTCGAGGATAGTTAATCTAACGGTTACAAATTCCGACGAAATAATTCCGTGACGGAACCGTATCATTTCCCTTTAAATTATATTTAAAGTTTTAATAAGCTAAATAATAAATATATTATATTATAAAATTTAACAATTAGTTAAAATGAATAATATAAATATAAATTGTTATACTTACATATGAATCACTATATTGTCTGTAAATAAATTATAACAAAAAATAATTTTTACGATTTTGTTAGACCCTCATCGACTAGTTGATTGAAAATAATATTATTATTACCACGCAACATGAAAGTAATGCCCGTACTATGGATATCACCGTTGTATTAAAAGTCGTGTTGGGCGTCCGCTTAGACACTGAGTGGCACCTGGTCACTCGATTTTCATCTAGGTGACCTTTCTAGGCACTCGGAAATTAGGCGGCACCTAGACAGTCAAACAGTTGTGATCTTGTCGATAACTCGACTGCTCAGGCGGTATAGATGCCGCCCTAGGCGCCTGTTTAGTTTTTAATTTATGATTTATATTTTTCTCCAAAAGATAAAAAAAAATTTCATACATCAAATGTACAATAATTACGAATAAAAAATAATAATATGTAAAAGAATAAAATAATTATAAGTACATAATATTTTTAAAATTCTTTATATTTAACCTAGTGTGTTTCATAAAATATATTTGTAAGTTATGCATGATTTTAAATAAATTTATTAGTACTTTTACAATCTTGTACAAATCCCGCATAATCAATGTCTGGACGCTAGGTCCCAACCTGCTGCCTAGCAAACGACGAGCGCTTTTTAGAACTTTGGATATCGCTAGAGCTGTTAAGAAAAACGAGCCACACGTGAGCTCGCCTTGATTCGTTAAGGCTCGCGTTGGGCTCGACTTTTTGATAAACGAGTCAAGTTCAAGCTCACTTAAAACCCATTTCATTAATGAGTCGGGCTCGGCTCGAGAAGAAAATTTTTATATAATTTTCTATACTTCGGCCCATTAGAGTGTAATTGGTAAGAAGTTAAAACTGATCAAAACCAATTTGGATTGCATCAGTTATTTTTAACTCACTTTAACTCAAAACTTGATAAAGCTTCACTACCCTCAGGTCTATGTTCACTAATACCCATGTAATCATAGACATTGTACTAGTATTTATTCATATGGAAATTGAATGATATATAGTTTTGCCCATATTATTTTTGTAAAGTGTTCCTTCTTACTTTGAAAAAAGTGCTCTCTCTCGCGTGCGCACACACACATGTATAGGTTTATGCTTTGTAGAATGGTTATAGTGAAAAAAAAAAAAAAAGAATTATAATAGCAATAAGATCTCATATACTTGACATCCGAAAGAGCCAATATTATACAATAATAAAAGGCAATAATGGACATTTCTCTCACCTTTCCTCCGTGAGAGCCTACCGTCAGCCCTCTCCTTGTTGTCGGCCTCAAACGGGCCTAGACCTACCAGCATCATGGATGCATCGAGCGACCAAAATACACATTTAGTTCATAGATATAATATTCACAAATTTACATAGGAGTCTTGTGATATCCCATGTTCAAAAGTCAAAATGTTGACAATTAACCTGTCAAAATCTTTGGTTCAGCGGAATAATTAACCTGTCAAAATCTTTGGGGCTGCATATTATTGTAGCTATTATTAGAACTTTCTGGACATGGTCATGAGTCGACTCAGCTTGTCGGTTCGGCCCGAACCGACACAAGCTGGCCCGTTGACCATGGGTCTTGAACCGATCCGTGGTTTTGACAAGTTCGATTCATGTACAATACCTTATAGTTTATACATTTTGAACATACAGTTTCGGTTCCGGATTGGAATCGAAATCCGAGGTTCGGCCTTTTTTTTAAAAAAATATTATTTTAATTATTTTTTTCTTTTTTATTTAATGAACCGACCGACCAATAATCGAAAGTTCAATGAACCGACCCGTACATATGTTCGTGCCGGTTCATGGTCCTCCAACTCTCGACCCGATATCGACGGTTTCGACCTCTAATCAGTTTTGGTTATGATTAGAAACAAAATATCATTTAATGTATGTTCGTTTGAATTGAAAAAACTCAATCTAGAATCGCTTTTATATCTAAACAAGCCAAACTCAAATAGCTAATCGAATTTGTCGATCAAACAAATAGAGTCGAACATGCTTGCAATCAACTCTGTACGAGATTTCTCTTTGTCTAGGAAATGATGCGAGTTAATTATTGGAGGCGAAATCAACAAAAAAATAAATAAATAAATAAATGAAAATAGATAACGGACTGTGGACTGAGACGAACCCAATTAAATAGCCCGTTTGATAAGTCTGTGTCAAACTTAATTATCCAACTCATTTGATATTTATCATGTCAACTGATTAAAAATATAAAAGGCAAGAATGTGTTAGGTCACATTATAAACTCAATTGATAAAATCTAATAAGGCCATAGTTGTCATTTGACAATAAAGGATTGTATTTTTTCCTCACTACAATCATCATTTTTTACCATTGTTGTCAGATAAAAAACTTTAACCTAAAGATATTCTTGAGGCATTCAGTCTAAAATTAAATGGGGCTACATAAAAAATCACATGAGGCTAATGAGTTTATGTATAATTTTTTTTAAAAAATAAGGCTAGCAAAAATAACGTTAGCAAAAAATTACATGGGGCTGGAGCCCACCCTAGCCTTAGGGTGGCTCCGCCCCTGCACACACACACAAATACTCACACACAAATACACACACATACTTTGTTGACAGCGGCGGCGTTTTGGAGAGGCAGTGGGCGGGGCGGGGCTAGACATGTCCAAAAAGCGGGTCACGGCCCGGCCCAGCCCGATGACTCAATAGGTAGACCCGGAACCAGACCCGACTTCACTAAAGGCTTGTTCATTGAACCGGCTCGACCCGACGGTTCATCGAACCGCAGATCTTTGAATAATAAAAAATAAATAAAAATCAACCCGAACCCGTCTCCCGACCCGGAACCGGCAGATTTAAAAAAAAATATAAGACCCGGAACCGGGCTGGTTTCACCACAGGTCCAGTTCCAAGACCCGTAGGTCCGGGCCGGGTCGACTCTGGCCACCCCTAAGCGGGACGGGGTGGGAGCATGTGACTATTATTAATACTTGTTTCTTTCAATGGTCAACCACTCTTATGGGGATACATTTTAAAAAGCAAATAAATATTTATATTATAAAATAATATATTTTTGTTAATCTATACTTATATTAAAGGGGATCCTATTTACTAAATATAGTAGTTAGAAAAATCAAACTTAATTAATGAATTTCTAATTTTATCAAGTATTTAATTAATGTATCTAATATTTTGGGTATGCAAATCAAATTAGCATTTAATTAGTTCCTAAAATATTGGGTATGCAATATTAATTTAGGAATATCCATGTAGTTCCTGAAAAAATATTGCAACACGTAAAACTATTCCAGTTATTTTTTATTTTATTTTACATATAAAATCTAATCAATATTTAATGCATCCTATAAAATTGGATTTAGTTTAATTCTCCATACAATTGGTTGTAACTTTTTAGTTGTACTTTATTTATTTATTTATTTTACACTTTTAAATTAATGAAGCTCTCCAAAAATACCAAATCAAATGATTTATAAAAGTTCTTTTTTTTTTTTACAATTTTAAATCTATATATCCAGCTCAAAAACTCATTGCATAAATATGGACGGATTTAAGAAAATTTCATAATCCAGCTTACAAAATTCCATCTCCACGAGTCAAAAAAATCACATCCCTCATCTATCGTAACAAATCTAAAGATAAATAAATAAAAAGTCTAATTACTACTATAAATCCATTATCTATTTAGATTTTTTTTAAATATCTAAATTTCACCTGTCTAATTACTAATATTTTAGATACTGTTAAATATAATTGTATAAATTTTTTACACATTTGCTCTCTCTCTCTCTCTCTCTCTCTATATATATATATATATATATATATATATATATATGGAGGTTAAATGAAGAATTTTTAGACATGTTTTTCTTACGGGTAGTTTAAAAATATTAGGTAGCTTCAAACATTATTTGTGAATAATATAGAATATTTTAGATGCTTTTATAGATGTTATAAAATATTTTAAGTATTTTTAATATTTATGTATAACACTTAGAAAAAATATTTTCCAAAAAAAAAAACATTAAATACACATTGTAAATGTTAATAGAAACAGTCTTCAGTGTTCGTCCTTGATCTCAATTGCATATAAAATTTCTTTGTAACATAATTTTTGGTGTGCATTAATCTCGATTTGTATTTGTAAAATTAATAGCTTTTGCATTAATTTCAATTTGTATTTTTAAAATTGATAAATTGTTAAGCGTACAAATTCCTTTTTATGGTAACAATATAAAAAAATGATAGTAACTTTTGAAATATTGTGTAGTCAAATCTTCATATGGAAGTAACATCATAATTATGGTATCTTATAAATTTTCTCTAAAACAACTTTAGCGTGAGATAATGTCTTTATTTAGGCTTATAACATTTTAGATACTTAAACAAAATGTTCAGACATATTTTTTTACATATTCTATCTATATGTACATATATATATATACTCACATATACGTAACACATGTTAAGTTTAATTATTTTTAGACATGTTTTCTTTACATAATAGTTTAAAAAATTTTACATGCACATCATACTTATATAAAAAAGCATTCTATTTACTAGAATTAGTAGTAAGAAAAGTCAAAGGTAATTAATGCATTCTATTTCCATCAAGTATTTTATTTAATTATTTTAGTTAATTGTTTTATCTCATAACACCTTTTCAATACAACTTACCATGATTTTTCTACTGTGATTAAAAACTAAATTTTACGTTTAAAATCTTGTGAAATTATTATTATTATTTTTAAAGCACATATTATTTGTTAAAAAATTGTATATATATATATATATATATATATAATACACATCACAGTATAATGATAGATGATTTAAATTTCAATCGACCAAAATGCCAATAATTTAAATTTGAACACACCTATGCGTTTGACCAAATGTCTGGATGATTTAAAATTGGACCCATAAAAAATATTTAAATTTGAACACACTAGAAATTTTATATACTTTTTATTTATAAATATATTGAAAGTGGTACGTATTTAATGGCTGTTATATAAACTAATTTAATATATTTGCAATGAATACAAGTTTGAATGAATAATTTGTAATGTTATTCATAATGTTTGTGACTTATGAGACACAAACACATAACTCCATCATATTTGCCAGAGGGCGGCTTAATAATTTTTTAGACTTAACGTTGATTAAAAGAGGTAAAAAATAGATAATTACATTATTACTTTTTAGACTTAAACGGACAAGGTTGTGAAAATAACTCATTTAATATATTTGTAACGTGCATCGCACGGGGTACGTACTAGTTTGTGTTTATGACATTTCATTATAAATATATATTGAAAAAGTATAATTGGCTAGTAATTTTGCTTTATTTGTTTATAAATATAGTTTTCAAACTAATGTATTAATGTTTTATGTGCAGGTTCAATTAAATTGGAGTATTTGACTGATTTTGATTGTTTTTCAGCATTTGAGATGCTGACATTGTTAATTCATGTAAAGCTTAAGGATATATCATTGTATTGTTGAATTTGAAATTTATAACACGAGTGTGTTCTTTCTTTTGACCCCCTTAAGTAGTTCCCTTTTATTTTTGAAATGGTCAATCAATCTACTAATAAGTATTGTTTCTTAAACATTGAGGCTATGTTTGGTTCAACAATGGAGAGATGAGGGAGGAATAATAGTGGAAAGAATAAAAGAGAAATGAAGGAGATATAAGATAATTTTACTTTGTTTAGATAGATTTTTAGTAGAGGGAAGAGAAAACAGTAAACCTCGTTTGATTAAAAAATAAAGAGGAAGAAAATAAAATTAAATAGACAAATATAGCCTTGTATATAATGTCGTGTTTATCCGACATTCAAACAATTGATAGAAAGTGATCAATTGCTATTATACTCCTCTTGCCGATGATAATAGTGAGGGAAAACGTTTTACAACCAGAAACTAACAGTCGTGTAATACACGAGTGTTGTACTAACTGGATAAATTAAGGAAAACTTGGGAGCAAATCGGTAGGCCAGCAGCAACAGTGGAATGTAAAGTCAGTGGCCTACTCAGAAATCATGCACACCTCAATACAAAATCCAAACACCATAGTTTTTAAACCTGATCCGGTAATCGACCTGAACATGTCTCCGGGTCACCGGATCACTGGTTCAACTGTCGAGTCACCGGGTCTATTGTTGAACCGAATAATTAATTTTAAAATTTTTAAAGTTATATATAGATTATTTTTGTCATATAAATATACTTAAAAAAGTAACAAAAATTAAATGTTTTGTGTATAGTTTGTAATTAAAGTGTTAATAATATGTAACTCATGATAAATGTTTACCATATAAATAAACATATATACCTAGTTTTAATTTAAAAAACAAAAAAAAAATAAAAAATAAAGAATTATATATTGGCTGGATCAACAGGGTTAACCCAGTTGGTTGACCCAATTGAGTCAATGTCTCGGGTTGGCAGGGTCGGCCAGGTCTTTTGTTGTCCGGTCCAAATAGCCCACCCGGCACACTGTATTAGTATTGCTCTCCATTCTCGAGTCGTGTGTGTCTATATTTTATCTTTTTTCTTCTTCGTATCCTATGAAACTTCGGTCGGGCATTTCCTATTTCGACGATTGCTGGATAATTTTCTAAGATCGGTGTGAAAAAGAAGTAGAATGTCGGGGAAAGGGGCCAATGGATTGTTGACGGGGAAAAACCCGGCGTCTAAGGACAAGGATAAGGACAAAAGGAAGCCATTTTTTCGCTCTTCTCGAGCTGGACTTCAGGCTCTCTCTCTCT